CTAAGAAGGAAAAACTGAAAACAACTGGTTCCACCCTATTGGTTTCTGATAACCATCTCTTTACATCATGAGTCAGCTCCCACCTGCTGATAATGAACTCAGTATCAGGTTCAACTTTTTTAAAGAATCAGGTTCAATTTGTGTCTCCTCTTGGTCTTAATTGCTATTGCAACAGACTATTACAAATAATTAACATAATACTTGCATGAAAGCATTGCGCCTACCATTTTTAAATGCCTATGAGAACATATACACTGAGTGGCCAGATTATTATGATCTCTGAACACTTAATAATCTGGCCACTCAGTGTATATCCTGTATAATAAAAGGCTAATATGCAAATTGTCCCCTCGACCAAGAGTTTGACCAGCAGGCACAACCACCCATGTCAATGTCCCCTCCCCCTGGCCAGGCTGGCTGGACCCCCCCCCCCCATGCATGAATTCATGCACCAGGCCTCTAACATATATATTGAGTGGCCAGATTATAATGTGTTCAGAAATCATAATAATCTGGCCACTCACTGTATACTTGCTTTTATATCCAGAAAAATATCTATTATTCTCGACTTAATATCTTATTAGTAGTAGCCTATTACTCATAGCCTATTAAGATACTGTAAAGATATCTCAGCTAAAACTAAAAATCAGAGATACAGCACTGTCAGAGTGGAGTCAGGAAGCCAGGATTCAAACCCAACTCCAACTATTTAATTGAGTAATCTTATTAAGCTCTACTTTCATCCACTAGCATAAATTTATGTATTAGCTTATAGGATTGTTGGAATCATAAAATGAGAAAACATATGTGTATTAGTCACATATATTTCCTTGTTTTCCAGCAAGGAAAACAGAAATCTCTCTGAGAACTAAAGCAGAAGGAATTTAAGTCAGAGAATTGATGAAGAAGGTACAAAGGTGGTGCTAAGAAACCACCCAGGAATCAGTAAGAAAACAGAGTTTAACAATACCAGAAAGCCTCTACTACTTCCTACACTAGGGATAAAAGAAGGAGGTGGTTCCTGGGCGTCAGGATCCCTTGCAAAACCTAGAACCACAGAAGCTTTGTCCAAAGAGACATACGAATATAGAAGAAATGTAGCTGTTGCTAGGTAGGAAGATTAAAGTAGAGCAGGATTGAAATTATCCTTTCTCTCATTGTCCAATTTCCTATTGACGAAATTGAACCACTTGAACTTGGGAGCCTGCTTTTACTAAATACATCTTATATACCTTCTCAGATTCTCCGCTGAGCTTCGTATGTCACTTGCTTTTACACTGCTGTCCCTGCAACGGCCACTTACAGGCGAAGCTGAGTGTTTCCACTGTGTGAAGTCTTCAAATGAACCGTGTGGCTCTGAACGCCATGCCCAGACCCTGAGATGCACCACATGGAGGAGATGAGAGCTGAATTCACCAGCAGCTGGGCGTGCCAGACCAGACGTGCAGGAATGCTTTCATTTCGGATGAACTATAACCAACGGGAAACTAGATGAAATTGGCACTCACATTCCTTCTCCACTCCTCCCTTCCAGGCACTGTTCACAATTACAGTGCTTCTGTGCAGACACCCTCCTAGAGTCAAGGGTCCGGCTTTGTTTTTTCACGGAGCAGCGGCCAGACCAGGTGTAATGCATCACCTGGAACTGGCTTCCCATCCTCCCGCCCTGAACTTCCCTTTCCCCTCATTTTTGCTGCCCTGTCAAGCGTGGAAGGCACGTAAGGTTCGCCTGTGGCTTTGTTTGGTTAAGACCCTGGGAAATGCAGCCTGAAGCGGTTGGCTCCCCTTCAAGGCAAAGCTGGGCGGGCAGGCGGGGAGGAATGGGGAGGAGAAAAAAAAGAGTTCTGAGCACAAACAGGCTGAGAGGCATATGTTTCCTCAACGCCCATAGCCATCCTCGCGTTCGTATTCAAGTCTATGTGACACCTTCATGCTTCACCTACAATAAGGCACTATCCGCTCTACCAGGAAAGAGGCTCTCTCCCTCTTCCTCCCTTCCCCCAAGGACAGATGCTGCAGGGGAGCAAAACTTACTACCACAAAGTATGTCTCTTCCTCGGGCTGATTATTTTTGAGAAACAGAAACCTCAGTGAAGTATTGCATTCTCCTCCCCTTCACTGACTGCAAGAATAGATGGAGGGCCAGTTCCAGGAAGAGAGCTATTATTAGAATAACTGCAAAGAACACAGGCTGGACGTGGTGGGCTTGGGGAGGGGGGCACTGGGGGAGGAGAAGGGGGGTGGGGATAGCTTGACAGGACCTGGAGATCCAAGTCCTCTCGGTGTCCCATTGTCTGTACAAGACAAGCATTCGTTTACCAGACATTTGTTTTTCCAAGAAGTACAAGATGGCACATTTGCAGGCTGACCACGGCTTCATAAAAAACATGTGCTTTTTTAGCTATAAATTGTTTTCCTCCACTTTGAAGTCCCAGACCCCCATGCCCTTCAACTTAGCTCAGAATAACTATCAGCTTTGAGTTCCTGACTTCATATTCTAATGGATCCCCCTTTCATATATGATTAAATGGTGTCTTGGGCCTGTTAAGCTGTCTCATCTCAATTTACTCTTAGAATCTAGAAGGGTAGGAGGATTTTTTTTTCTTCCAACACTACACAAAAATCAAGTAGTCATTGTATGCACTTCAAATATCAGGCCTCCAAGTGATTTATAGTCACATCCTAGCTTTAGGTTTGGACCCTCCTAGTTTTGAAATCTACAAAGAATTTTTTTTTAACTACTGAAACTAATAAGTTAACAAGATAACATCAATTTAAAAAAAAAACAGCTTTATCTCTATAAATCAACAACAAATAATTTGAAAAAAATATTAAGTGTCATTTACAACAGCATCAAATATATAAATTTAAATAAAATATGTATAAGATCTATATCCTAAAATACACCACATTATTGAGAGACATTAAAGACCAAACTAAATGGGAATATAAATCATGTTCAGAATTTTAATACTCAATATTGTTAGGACATCAATTCTCCCAGATGAATCTACAGATTCAATGCAATCCCAATCAAGCATTTTTTTAAAATTTTTGAGAAAATGAAAGATTCCAGATAGTCAATATACTTTCTTTTTTGCAAGTCATAACGTGTTTTATTTTTTTTTAATCCTTGTTTTGTGACTAAAAGTAGTAGGTGTTATTCCTTTCAAGTACCCAAAAGAAGCTTCATCATTTTTTAATTGAATTTATTGGAGTGACATTGGTAAATAAAATTATACAGGTCTCAGGTGCACAATTCTATCACATATCATCTGTATATTGCATTGTGTCTCCACTACCCAAAGTCAAACCTCCTTCCACAGTCATACAGTCAACCCCCTCTACCCTTCATTACCCTCCCCACCTTCCTCTCCCTCTGGTATCCACTGTTCTGTTGCCATGTCTATGAGTTTTTGTTTATATGTTTCTTGTTTGCTCATTTGTTGCTTTAAGTTTTATACCCCATGCATGGGTGAAAGTATATGGTTCTTGACTTTCTGACATTTCATTTAGCATGATATTCTCAAGATCCAGCTATGTTGTCGCAAGTGGTAATATTTCATCTTTTCTTATGGCGAGAAGTATTTCATTGTATATAGGTACCATATACTCTTTATCCAGTCATCTATAGAGGGGCATAATACTTCTGTTGTTTCATTGTCTTGGTCACTGTGAATAATGATGCAATGAAAATAGGATTGCAAATAAATGTTTTCAAATTTTCCAGGTAGACACCCATAAGAGGAGTTGCTGGTTCGTGTGGTAACTCTAATTTTGGGGGGTACATCCATACTGCTTCCCCCAGTGGCTATACCAGTTTACATTCCCACCAACAGTGAGTGAGGGCTTCTTTTTCTCCACAACCTCTCCAATACTGTTATTACTTATCTTATTAATAGAACCTCATTGTAGTTTTGATTTGCATCTTCTTAATAGTTAATGAAGGTAAGCATCTGATATTCTAGAGGCCTGGTGCATGAATTTGTGCACTAGTGGGGTCCCTCAGCCTAGCCTGCAGGACTGGACCGAAACCAGCTCTCTGACATCCCCTGAGGGGTCCCTGATTGTGAGTGGATGCAGGCCAGGCTAAAGGACCCCACTGGTGCACGATCAGGACCAGAGAGGGATGCGGGAGGTTGGCCAGCCAGGAAGGGACTGCAGTAGGGCTCCAGGGCATGTCTAGTCCATCTCACTCAAGCTCAGTCCCAATTGGCCGGACCCCAACAGCAAGTTAACCTACCGGTCATAATGTCTGGCTCCTGGTGGTAAGTGCATGTCATAGCGAGCAGTTGAGGGCCTTAGCATATCATTTGCATATTATGCTTTGATTGGTTGAACAGCCAACCAGATAACCAGACACTTAGCATATTAGGCTGTTCTTCTATAGGATCTGTTCACTGTTTGAATGTCTATTGGGAGAAATGTCTGTTCAGGACCTCTGCCCCATTTTTAATTGGGTTGTTTATTTTTTTGTTGTTGTTGTTAGCACATTTATTCCAAGGCATACTGTAAAGTTCCAGTATTGAGACAGTATAGTATTTCTATAAGAATAAACATATAGATCACTGAGACAGAATAGAGAATCCAGAATAGACCCACACAGTTAGTGAATTAATTTTCTACAAAGGCACCAAAGTGATTCAATAGAGGAAAGGAAAGTCTTTCAACAGTAGTACAAAATCAACTGAATATCATTATAGAATAATAGTGAACCCTACCCTTTTCTCACACACAAAAATTAATTTGAAATGTGTACAATCTAAATGTATAAGTTAAAGCTATAAAACTTCTGAAAGACAAATATAAGCAAAGATTTTTTAGGACAATAAAAGAAAAATGATATGCTAAACTTCATCAAAAAATTTAAAACTTCACCTCTTGAAAGACACTATTACAAAAATAAAAAGGCAACATGAAGACTGAGAGAAAGTATTTGTAATACATATATTTAACAAAGAATTTGTATCCAATTCTATAAAGAACTCTTATAATTCTACAATAAGAAAACAGGAAACCAATTTTAAAAAGAAACATGACAAAATATTGAATAGATACTTCACGTTCAAAGATATATAAATAGCAATAGACAAATGAAAAAATGCTTAATGTCATTATTCTTCAGGGAAATACAAATAAAAAACCACAATGAGATATCACTACACACCCATTGTTATGGCTGAAATTTAAAAGCCTAACAATAACAAGCTTTGGTGATTACATGGAGACAGTTGAACTCTCCTCATATGCTGCTATGGTAAAATGATGCAACCACATTAGAAAACAATCTAGATGATTCTTATAAAATCAAATATGCACTTGCCATAGGACTCAGCAATCAACTCTTGGATATTTAATAAAAAGAAATGAAAACGCATGTCCACACAGTAATTTGCACATAAATGTTTATGTCATGTTTATTAATAATAGTAAAAAATTAGAAACACATCAAATGCTCATAGGTGAATGAACAAATTGTGGCATGTCTGTATAATGCAATACTATATAGTAACAAAAAGAATAACCTATTGATATGAGAAAAACTAAATTCAAAAAGATGCTGAGAAAATTCAGACAAAGATGAGTATATGAAGTATGAAATTCTAGAATAGGCAAACTAATTTATAGTGACAGAAAGCATATCACTGCTTCTCTGGGTCCAGGTGGGTAGAAGGGGACAAAAAGGAACTTTTGGAGATGGTGAAAATGTTATATATATTAATTTGATGGTATTTAACAGGTGTATACATTTCTCAAAAAACCACTGATCTTGTGACTTAAATGAATACACTTTATTGCATGCAAACTATAACTCAATAAGGTTATTTTTTTTTTAATTTGAAGGTCAAGAAAGTCCATGGAAGCATTCAGAACTGTTCCAGATTAAAGAAGACTAAGGAGACATCAGAACTAAATACATTGCATGATTCTGAATATGAGGGAAACACACCTATAAATAACATTGAAACAGTTGACAAAATTTAAATATGGACTGTAGACAAAAGCACAGTAGTCTATCAATGTTAATTCTCCTGATTTTGATAATTGTGCTATGGTTATACAAGACCAAGTTCCTGTTTTTGTAAAATATTTAGACAAAGAGACATAATGTTACTAATTTATTATCAAGTGGATCAGCAAGGGGAGAGAGGGAGAGAGAAAAAGAAAGAGAGAGAAAGAGACAGAGAGAGAGAGAACATGCAATAAAGTGCAGATAGTAAAACATACACAAATGGTAACTATGGGTAACGGTTAGATGAGAATTTCTTATACTATTGTTTTAACTAATCAGTAAGTTTGAAATTAGAGCAAAATATATTTTCAAAGATGAGAGGTAAGCATCTAGATGGGGGGGGGAGATAACTATTTTTTTTAGTTCTTAATTGTGGTATCTCTCAAAATCAAAGGTTATTGCAATGATTTATCTTACAAATAAGGAAAAGACCCAGGTACTTATGAGTTTTCTAATTGTTTCTGTGCATAGTTCCAGGAAAGAGAAACAGAGAATTCCACAGGTCCATTAAAGAGAAGGGTAACTACTCTCCAGAAGCAAAATCTTCCCTGCTTATCCACAAAGACCAATGACATCTGATCTCTCAAATCATTGCCCAAAAGAGCATTTTCTTCTCTTTCAGCTCATCTCTGCTTCTGCCGTGCACTAAGGTCTGCAGTCAAAAACATTACTTTGTTAAGTAATCACGATCATTACAGGAAACACACTAAAAGTGGCAACATTCCATTTTATCTTTTCCTCCAAATATATTCATTGAGGAGGGGGACAATGTTCTTCTCACATATACAATTGTAGGTTTTAGAACAATCAATAGTCGTTATTCTCGTTGAGGCTAAAAATGCACATTCTCCTCTCCCGAAGGTCCAACTCATTATTGAAGTATTACTGTAAAACAGAAAACATGTGTAGTCAACTTTTACTTCTGAAGCTTACAATAACATAAATCCTAATTTTTAAGCCTACAGACCAAGATTACACAAATGTTTAAGTCATCACTGAAACATTGTCTTTGGCTCTTAATCCATCAGATAGAATCTCATTCAGCCTCTTGTTGACACCCACAGTCTCCCCTTTTATTCCACTCTGGAAAGTTTTAGTCAGAAGGCAAAATTACCTTGCAATACTGCTCTGGGATTATAATGTAGCAAATATGTTTTGTTACATTAAATTTTTCAGTAAAAGTGAGAGGTTAAAAAAGAGAAGAACTTCTATGATACAGATAATCAGGTCTCATGTGTATATACTCTATTGAGAAAAAAAAGTAGAATTATAATATAGTCAGAAATGAGGTTTAATCAATCTTTTTATTTGCCTAGTTTACTTTTCCTTCCCAGTCCCATAGCTAATTATTAGTTAAAGCGTGACAATCCATTGAAAAATGTGTAAAAGCAGGACTTCTTAAGAAAAGTAGGTTAGGTGCCAGAAAACTTTCTATTAAAAAAGTGAAAGATGCTGATTACAAAAAATAATTTAAACCTTCTTGAATAAATGTATGAACTGGCAAGCAAGAAGTAAATTCACACTCAGGCTAAGAGTTATTAAGTAAAGGATGGGATCCCAGAAGGGTGAGTATGTCGAATAAGGAATTCCACCCACCATCCTAAACAGAAGACAGGCTACAAAGGGATGAAATGCCAAAGGGATATATCTCCAGCATAAACAGCCTAGAATTGTCTTAAACCTTAGATTTAAGCAGAAGACCAAAAGAACAAGCCCATTTAAGGAACCAAAATCATAAACCATCCCCTCATGTAATTTGCTTTTGCTGGATTATTTAAAAATATTCAAATCCGCTGCAAGAAAAAAAGGGAAAGAAACAAATAAGATAAATGACACTAAACAGCTTGTGAGACATGGGCCGAACACAAAAGATAAGTTAAATATGAGTAACGGGCAGAAGGTTCTTGTGGCCTGCACACACTTTTTCTGTGTGAAATGAGAGAAGATGCTTTTTAGAAACAATACTTCCTACCCCAACACTGATGTTATAGTTTGGATGCATTTCAGAGACTTACATTCCAGATGTGCCCTTGTCAATCCATTCCCATTTACTTGTCTCTTCATTAAATGACAATCCAATCCAGTATCTATTTTTATAAGTCTGAGATCGAAGGAAGGACTGTAAAGGAATCACAACATACGTGACTAAATTTCCATCAGTGAGATGAATGGAGACCACAGGAAAAGCAGCCAGCTGAGTTGATGGCCAGTTCTCTGCTGCTTCCCACGTCATCCTGAATACCTCCTTTCTAGAAATCTCTTTCTACCCTCATTCCTTGTATTTTCATTTTCCAAATTTTCTCCTAGTACATTATTTGTATAAAAATGGCTGCAAGAGTTTTGGCCAATTTGGCTCAGTGGATAGAGCATCAGCCTGGGAACATTATTGATGTTTCAATCTATCTCTCCCTCTCCCTTCCTCTCTGAAAAATAGCCATTGTGGAGAACAGTATGAAGTTTTCTCAAAAAACTAAAAATGGAACTCCCATTTAACCTAGTGATCCCACTTCCATGAATATATTCCAAGAAACTAGAAACACAAATAAGAAAGGCTATATGCACCCCTGTGTTCATAGAAGCACAATTCACCGTAGCTAAGATTGGGAAATAACCTAAATGCCCATCAGCAGATGAGTGGATTAGAAAACTATGGTACATCTACTACACTGCGGTAAAAAGGAGTTCTTACCATTTGTAACAACATGGATGAAGCTGGAGAGCATTATGCTAAGCGAAATAAGCCAGGCAGGGAAAGATAAATATCACATGATCTCACACATTTGTGGAATATAATGAACAACATAAACTGATGAACTAAAACAGATCCAGAGACAGAGAAACATTGATCAGATCGTCAAACCTCAGGGAAGGTAGGGGACTGTGGGGGTAAAGGGAAGAGATCAACCAAACGACTTATATGCATGCATATAAGCCTAATCAATGGACACAGACAACAGGGGGATAAGGGTATGAATTGGGGGAGGGGGGTTGAGGGGTAATGGAGGAATAAAGACACATATATAATACTTTAATCAATAAATAAATTTAAAAATAAATAAATAAAATTAAAGTGTAATATGCTAATTAGACCAGACAGCTGAATGACCTTCCAGATGACCTTCCAAACCAAGCCACAATGGTGGGAGGCCAAGGCAGAGGCAGTTAGGGGCAATTAGGCAGATAGAGGTAGTTAGGGGTGATTAGGCAGGTAGGCAAGTGGTTAGGGGTGATCAGGCAGGCAGTTGAGCAGTATAGGGGCATCAGGCAGGCAGGCAGAGTGGTTAGGGACTATCAGACAAGCAGGCAGGTGAGCAGTTAGGAGCCAGAGGTCCCAGATTGTGAGCAGATGCAGGCCACCTGCTGCCTGCCCCCCCCCCCCACAACCCCACCTGTGAATGAATTTTATGCACTGGGCCTCTAGTAGTAAAATAAGCATATGTGGGAAGGTGTACATTACAACTTCAGCCTCATACGAGAAAACCTTGCTATAGTTTAGTAGTTAAAAGAGGTAAAGAAAAATGGGGAAGAATTTAGAAGTATTTACTACTCCAAAAATGTAGAATCAAAGTGACATATTAAATAATGTCTAATTAAATGACTGAATGTGTTTCATAAATATAGGCTTAAATTTAATTGTTTTACTGACTCAAATACAGAAAATATTTTATGACAACCTAAAATCTTCTGCATTGCGATTTAAAACATCTGTTCGATTTGTATATAAATTGTGTGAACCAGGAGGTCACAGTTTGATTCTGGTCATGACACATGCCTGGGTTGCCAGCTCAATCCCCAATGTGGGGTGTGCAAGAGGCAGCTAATCAATGATTCTCCCTCATCATTGATGTTTTTAATTCTCGATCCTTCTCCCTTCCTCTCTGGAATCAATTAAAAAAAAAAAAAAAAAAAAACAAAAAAACAAAAAAAAACTTGTTTAAGAATATTGATCAAGTAAATGTTGCCTGCAGATGCAATGAAAATCACCATGAGGCTGAAACTGTAAAACTGTTATCAGTTTTATGTTTCTCATCATTATCTCCATTTTAACAGGTGGGGGAACTGAAACTAAGAGAGGTTGAGTCATTTACCACAGTTACGGAACTAGTAAGTGCCAGAGCTGGAATTGACCACAGGCAGTCTGACTCCTGGATTCCTTGCAGTAACTACGTGGCCATGTTATTCCAGGATTTTAGTTGTCACCTTATTGGGAGAAATAACTGCTGGTTGCAGCCCGTACGACTAAGTACTTCATCAAAAGAGAGGCATATTTCTCTGTGTTTTTCTTGAAAGAAAGATGATTGCAAAGCCCCAAAATGCATCCTCGAAGAGGTTTCCACTTTGGATATAACAATGATCATGATAGATGATATATACTGAATGCTTAGTAAATAACAAGATTGTATTCTTATTGGTAGGCAGAGTCTTCTGGGAGACTCTAAACTGTACTATTTTTGCTCACTCAACAGACACAACACAAAGAATAGCTGAAGGTTCCTTTTTCTGGAAACCCTCCCCCTGTCCTCAATAACTTGGGTGTGAGAGTGGGAGACAAAGTCAGAGAGAATAAAGGTGAATATCATCCATGATACCATTTCATTTTCATCGTCTATCTTCAAAAGAGATAATCCTTTACTTTGGCAAGTCTGTTTACATTCTTTCCAGGTTTTATTTTCAGTGGTAAAAATATAACAGTTCACTCCACAACAGGACCAGAGTTCTTCTTCGAGTTGGCCTATAACATGTAAGGTAAAACATTAATCTTCTTACTTATCTGGCATTCTGTTAAGCACAGCAATATATTTATCAGCCTTCTATACCTGGATAAAATCTTAATAGCTACCAATCATGATAACATGAGGTTCATCAAAATTCTGGAATACCAAGAGATATCACCCATGTTCCATGTAGCATTATTCACAATAGCCAAAGATATGGAGACATCCCAAATGTCCATCCACAGATGAGTGGATTTAAAAGTGTGGGCTATACATACTTGACGTACAATTCAGCCTTACATAGAATGAGATCCTGCCATAGGCAGCCACATGGATGAACCTTGAGGATATTGTGCTAAATGAAATAAGCCAGACACAGGACAAATACTACATGAATGCCGTTACACGAGCTATTTTCAACAGTCAAACTCAGAGAAACAGAAAGTAGCATGCTGGGGCAAGTAGGAGGGAGAAATGGGTAGTTGCTCAATGGGCATAAAGCTTCAGTTATGCAAGATGAATAAATTCTAGACATCTGCTATACAGCATAGTGCCTATAGTCGACAATATTGCATTGTGCAGTTAAACACTTGGTAAGAAGCCCCAGCCAGTTCAGCCCAGTGGATAGTGTCAGCCTGAGGGCCAAAGGGTCCCAGATTTGGTCTGGTCAAGAGCACATACCTGACATACAGGCTCCTCCCCAGACTGGGCCCTGGTCAGGGCTCATGCAGGAGGCAACCAATTGATGTGTTTTTCTCACATCGATGTTTTTCTCTGTCTTTCCCTCTCTCTGCCACTCACCCTAAATATCCATGGGAAAATATCCTCAAGTGAGGATTAAAAAAATAAAATAAAAACGTGGTAAAAGGAGAGATCGTATGTCAAGTGTTCTTACCACACCAAAAAAAAAAAAAAAAAAAAAAAAAAAAAAAAAAAGTGGACATGAGAAAAAATTGAGAGATATTACCCTAATTGTGGATCATTTTACAAGTGTATGTATATATCCAAAGTCATCAAATTGTATACATTAAATACATACAGTTTTTAAAATAGTAGTAATACCTCAATAAGTTGCTTAAAGAATAATAAAATTCAAAGAAATTTCTGGAATGTCTTCTAAATAAATATTATTTGGAATTTTTTTTTCTTTATCTCTTATGTATTTTACAATACACCAAGTTTTAAAAATATTATTGATGCTTTAACAATGGAGATGATAATTTCCACTGATTACCATGCCTAAATGAGGTTAAATATGCAAAAACTATTTGTAAACTCTAAATCCCAAACAAATATGTATTAATTGCTGATAACCAGGTCAATTCACTCCATTGTCATGCATGATAAGAGAATTTATTGTATGAAATTCGTATTTTCATCTCCTGTAATTTTTTTATAGGTATTACCACACATAGTTTCACAAATATCAACACTGTGACAAATCTTGCAGATGTATTGTAGGGAATACATATTGATCACAATCTGAAGTCAAGGCAGAATGGAAAAACAAGATAGGCAAACACACACACACACACACATACTTAGAATTATCTTTACAACAGCATTCAAATAAAAGGCTTTATGCCCATTGCAGCCTATGTCTACTTTTATTGATAGCATCTACTTCAGCAACAAAGTAGAAGTGACTAATTTTGCCCCCAGGTCCAAAATAATCTGAATTTTCAGGAGAGCTAACATATTATTTCACCTTCTGGAAGCAGTAGGTGAACTGTCATTAACTTTTGGGGAATACAGGGGACTGCTTATCTAAACATGGCTCCTGGGGTCTCAAACCCATATTCAAAATAAGCAATCGCAAAGACCCATATTATTTCTAAGAGGCATAAATTAATTGTCCCCGATAGAACCAGACAGCTAGCATATATCACAAGCCTGTTATTAACTTTGAAGCTTCTGAAGAAGAAATGATGAAAAGTAATGCAGTCTCTCACTGAAGAGTTCCTTCCTACCTGTATTTTGCAAAGATTTTGAAGAGATTTTCTCTTTTCTATAACATGAGACCGGTTTCTTCTCCGACTGAGCTGTTTCATTTTTGAGAATGTCAGACTCTAGAGTCTTATTTGCCAAAAGTTGCTTTGTTAAGTAGTTGTCATTTTGCAAAATGTGGTACTTTTGTTGGAGGTTTTGTAGAATTTCATCTTGTTGATGTTTTTCTTGATTATACTGAAAAACTAAAATTAATAAGATGCAAAACTATACTCATAATGCTTAAATGCTGAAAGTATAGAGAAAAAATCTCACTTCGACAATCAACCCATTTCATTACTTTAATTAGCAATTTGACATTTAGAAAGTAACACCTCAGCAAGCTGATGATACAAATGAAAAGATCAAACTTCTCACAGTTAGCAATTTAAGTTTAGAATAAATAAAATAAGAGATCTGAATAAAATTATGATAGCAACACCTTACCATTAATTTAGTTTCATTTTGGTAGTTAGCACATTACTTAAAAATAGGTACTAAAGTAAAAATCAGTTAGCCAACTTTTTGCAACACATCTGAGTATGAAAATCTGCACTAAGACACATGAAGAAACAGCACCATTATTATTAAATAGGATAAACCTAGGAAAAAAGGAGAAAGATCCCAATATGTCACTTAATCTGAGTGCAATATATTACTAATTTTCTCTAAAGATATCAAGAAATTCAAATAAAAAATAAAAGTTGATGGACTCAAGATTCCAACATCTATGTACAAAATCACTCTAAATTCTTACTAAATCATTTCTTCATTGCATTCTTTTTAGCTTTATTTTTATTGTTGACACTATTATAAATGTCCCCTTACCTCCCTCCCCCCACCTCTTTGCCCAGCTCCACCCAGCTACCACCCCCCTTCCCTCTGGCTATCGCCACACAGTTGTCTGTATCTATGGGTTTTGCATATATGTTCTTTGGCTAATCTCTTCACCTTCTTTCATCCACCACCCTAATCCCGCCCCCACTCCTGCTTCTGACAGCTGTTAGTCTATTCCATGCATTCATGTCTCTGTTTCTACTTTGTTCATCAGTTTAGTTTGTTCATTACAGTCCACACATAAATGAGATCATAGAACAATAAAAGAAAGTCAGAATTTATTTCAAACAGTTGTTTCTTAAAGAATGTTTATCTAAGATTCACAGTGATCGAAACTTGGAACGCAGAATATTACTAAGTCCTGTATTAAAAGGAATATTACCTGTATGATAAAGAATGGGGCTGCAGAGTCATTGAAATAGGTAAGTGAAATGAAAATAATACTGTGATGTGTCTAGGAAAAAATCATCAAGAAAAAGCCATCTGAAACATTCCCTTTTGACATCCAGGGAACAACTGATTATTAATAACTGCAAAATTGATGATTAGTGCTATTACTCAGATTCAAAGGGTGTATTTAGTTACTTACGTATTGTTCCCAAAACTATGATTGTCATGATTAGAAGTAAACAGAGGATCCCAAAAGCCACTGCCATGGGACGCCAGGGTACTGAAAACTCTTTAAATACAGAAGAAAAAATAATCAGAAGGATATTATATTTATGTATGTATATATATGTATGTATATATATTATAGATATATTATAGATATATATATTGCATGTGTGTAAAATATAATTTAATCTACATGTAATTTAAGATAAGTCATAATCCACTTGCATAGACCAGGATATATCATACATTTAAGATCATTAAATTAAAAATTTTTTAAATTAAAAAAAAAATCACCAGGAGTAGAGCTTGGCCCACCACTAACCTTTACTGGGACACCATTTGCAACAAAGAGACAAATGTTTTCTAAAAGTTTTACAAAATTATATCATACAAATTGATCTAAATCTGGAATCTAGTAGTGACAGTTTTAAAGTTTCAGATTTCTGACTGGCATACACCCATGGTAGAAACCCTACACACAAAAACAGTTCTGTAGGATTTCAAAAATACAGGTGGCAGCCCTAACCGGTTGCCTGTGGCTGAAGGGTCCAAGTTCGATTCCAGTCAAGGGCATGTACTTTGGTTGTGGGCACATCCGCTGCAGGGAGTGTGCAGGAGGCAACTGATTGATGTTTCTCTCTCATCAATGTTTCTAACTCTCTATTCCTCTCCTTCTTTCTCCCTTCCTCTCTGTAAAAAATCAATAAAATATATATTTTTAAAAAGTACAGGTGACAGTACACACGGCAAACATTTATGAGAATCCACACTAGTGTGTGTACTCCTTGCTGTGATCACAACTCATCATGAAGAAGAAAGGAAAGTAGTCAATATATATATATATATATATATATATATATATATATACACACACACACACATACACACACACACACACACACACACACACACTAGAGGCCCCTATGCACGAAATTCGTGCAAGGACCTTGGCCCCCACAGCTGCCTCTGCCTCAGCCCCAGCCTGCTGAGGCTTTGTCCAAAAGAAAAGATTCTAGAAGTTTCTTTGGTCTAATTAGCATATTAGGCTTTTATTATTATAGATATATTATTATATTTTAGAGAGGAGGAGGGGGAGGGAGCAATAGAAACACGGATAAGAAAGAAACATCAATTGACAAGCCCCCTACTAGGGATAGAGCCGCACCCCAGGCATGTGCCCAGACTGGGAATGGAACCATGACCTCCTGGTTCATGGGCCAGTGCTTAACCACTGAGTCACACTGTCCGGGCACAGTCAATATTCTTGAGAAATTGGTATCCAATAGTGGATATTCTGAAGCTGCAAATGAGATTGGGATCCATTCTTAAAGATACATCTAGAAATCAACTTTCCTTTCTTTCTCATCAACTTTATTTCTCACTAGACAATGCTATCTATATTTAGCCTCCTACATTTGTGTCCCCAATATCTGAGAGCTTATTTCTTACCATCACTATATTAAAATAGTAAAAGTTATTCTCAATTTAAAGTTTAATTGTGACAACAGTTGAGAGAGAGAGAATAGAAAAATTAGAATGCGCCTTTTGATTTTAACAGATTTGCAGCTTCATTGCCATCAAGGTTTGGTAAATATTTAAAGCACTTAAATATTTACCAAATAAAATACCTTTTGTCTGAATAAAATCATGTTTTTCCTCTCTTAAACGTTTCTTAGACTTTTATTTGTCTAGGAAATGCCATGTTTTCTTGAGATTCTACTTTTTTTTTTATCCTCACCGAGGATATATTTTTATTTTTTTATTTGAGAGAGAGGAGAGAGAAACTTTATCGGTTGTCTCCCATACACTGTCCACTGGAAAGTGAGCCCCAAACCTTTTGGTGTTCGGGACAACACTCCAACAAACTGAGGCATGGAGCCAGGGGTTAAGGCCTCAAAAATTTCTTGCCCAAATTTGAATGAAAATACTCTCTTAGCTCCTCAAATTTAAAGAATTCACTCATTTTCCCATTCTCACAAATGTAAAAAAATAAAAATAAGACTTTTCTATTACTACAAACCTAATGTTTTTTTATTACCATCTGAGAACCTGAAATACAGATAAAAACATTTTTTTTTTCCAAGCTTCAAGCATTTGACAAGCCATAAACCCGGGTGAATCCAGATGCTTAAGACATATACCTTTGCCATCAGTTTTCCCAGGGCTTTGAGTACAATGAGGCCTTAATGCATTTTGTGACTCTGAAGGACTCTGAAGAAATGCAGGGGTTAAATAAATTAATTCCTGATTGCTCATCTCTAGAGTACAAAGAGAAAAATGTTTCGCATTAAAACCCTGCATCAGGATGATTTCTGTCTAAAGAAAATGTAAAATGTTAGTCTATAGGAGCATGTCAGAAATGAGAGGTATGTGTGTATGTCTGCCTGTGATATAAATGTGTATTTATTAATTAATTAGAATGTCTAAAACACATAAGCTGAGACTGATTTATATAAGAAATTTATATTATACCCATGATTATTAGAAAATATGAAAAATAATATTTACCAAGAGATTGAATAGGCTGGGTTCTATTCACCTAGCCAATCTAGCTCAAAATGTTCAACATATACATACAATTGTTAGCCAAAATTGGTACCATCCCAAATGCCTGAAACACCTTTAAAATTATCAATTTATAGCACCAAAATTCTATGTTTTTGAAATTCTGAAAATATAAATACCTTGACTTTAAAAAACATTATTCATTGTTCAACTCTGCATATAAATTGTTAAAAAGTTTGCTCATTCTATTTAATTATAACATAAACTCAAAGTGTTTCCCAAAGTGTATCCCATACACATCTGCAAAAGAATTATTTGAGAGTTAACCTTGCAGATTTGTTAGCATTTCAGATTCCAGTGCCCCATCCAAGATATGCTGAACAAAAATCTCAGGTTGGAGCTAAATACCTGCATTTTTAATCCCAAATGACTGCATGTACATTAAAATTCTAGAAATAATCTTCCTGTATATGTTACTGCCTGAGAGGTCTATATTAAAATAATTTTTTAAAGGCAGTCATTAGGTAATATCTATAAAGAATTTAATTTATTAATGAATGTCAATATTAAAAAGGAATTATTAAATAATAAATATTTAAAATGTACCTTCCTCCTTGCATTAATCCATGTGAAAAGATGATATACAAGAAACAGATAGTATGGAAAACAAATTGCATGTGTAGCTCTGTCCTTTTACATTTTTATTTTTATTTACAAAATTTTCTAAACTTCACTATTCACATTTCCTCCAATTTCCTAAGGAAAGGGAGTATTTTCTATTACAGAATCCTTCAAGATGGAACAGATACCATGCAAATCATTAAGTCCACATTAAATGTGAACGCTGAGCTAGTTTTCACATTCCCTTCGGAGATGATGTAGTTTTAACGCAATCGAGATTGCCTTCCTAATCAATCCCATATTCATGCCTAGTCACTTGTAATTGATAAAGTAACATATTCCTAAAACCCTAGTTTATTAGGTTGTTTTTCTTTAGAAGGAGGACTAATAGGACGCTCAGGTCAAGCACTGAGGCATTAGTAGTAAATGTTACCTGTATCTGTGGATGCTGGGGAAAGCTGACCCAAAAATGAGGTGGAAGATGTTAGCGTTTCCAACTCTGGATCCTTGAGTGCTTCAGGGGCTGTAAGATGGAAGGCGGCAGTGAATCGTCTCTGAATAATACTCCAACTCAAAATTGTCTGCCCCTCCTCTTGACCAAAGTGATGAAAGGAAACTGTATGATGAAAGCTGGTGTTGATGCGAAGGAAAGACGGTCACGAGCTACATGTTCCTTCATCTCAACTAACCAACTACTTGGTATCTGCACGACTGCATTTAAAAAGCAACACCTGAGGACATAAAGATAAAGGTACACAGCATTCAAAAAAAAAAATACTAATATTTTTCACAAAAACCAGCCTACTTCAAAGAAACTACTAGTAGTAAAAATAAATGATTAAAATGTAAATTATAAATATGTCTATATACATATATGTAAAAAATACCATGACTTAAATAGCCCATCAGTCAGAAACTTTCTCCATAACTTCATTATAACATATTTTCTGTACTTCTACCATTTTATCCATACATTATCAAAATGTATGTTTTTTTTAATATCTTTTTTTTTTTTTTCAGAGAGGAAGAGAGAGGGAGAGAAACATCAATGATGAGAGAGAATCATTGATCAGCTGCCTCTTGCATGTACCACCACTCCCCCCACCTGGGGATCGAGCCTACAAACTGGGCATGTGCCCTAACGGGGAACCTAGTCTTGACCTCCTGGTTCATAAGTCAACCTTCAACCACTGAGCCATGCTAGCTGGGTTCAAAATGTATCTTTTATCCATTTACCATCAATGTTATACAATGTTTAACTTTATACTCTGTTTTTGATTAATTATTATCTAATACATGTTTTCATAAACATGTATTTCATAAAAATATGCCTAAAATATAGGATATTCCCCAAAAATGTATACACACTTTGAATATTAATTATAAAGGTAGTGCTTATTAAAATACACTTCATTTTCAAAATTGAGCTATCAACTATTAAAATGTATGTACATTTTGGGGGATAGCCCATATGGCCCATCTGTCAGAATTTTTCTCTTATTACTATTTGGAAAATATGGATCATTTTAAAAGACATATAATTATTTCCTGTATGGTCTATATCATAAGTTATTTAGGCAATTATCCACTGTGGGACATTTAGATTGTTCCCTTTTTTTTTTTTTTTCTAGTATAAAAAGATATTTGGCTTGTACCTTTGAATATTTTCTTAAGAAAAAACTTAAACATGAAATTAGGGAGTCAAAGTGCATATACATTAAAGAACTTTGACACATATTACCTAATGCTTTCCAGAAAAGTTTATTTTATTTATACACTACCAGCTGTGTGTTGAAAATGTTCGTATTTGATTATTTGAGAAGAGATGCTGGTAAGTTATTTCTGTACTTAAGTTTTGTCTATGAACCTTACTTCATAGATGTTGACAACCTACCAGCTAAAAGAAATACATTTCTCTCACTGTTTCTATGAGTCAGATATTTGCTTTCATTTCACAGAGTCCTGGTCAAACTTCTGACATACAGTCCTATGAAACCAATTTAAGTTGCCTCTCAACTCAGCTGATGGTAGTTACTATGGAGTGTGGGGAGGAGGAGAGAAGTGGGGAACCAAAAGGGGAAATTAATTACACAGAAACAAGCCCACCCTGATTGCCTCTTGCTCTGACCCAATACCTGGCTTCCTCTTTTCTTTCCTTACCTACCTCTTGCCACCAGCAAACATCACGCTTGAGACAACCTACCCGCTCTTGTTTGCTCCTGCCTCTCCCCTCCCCTCCAAACGAATTACAAATACCGTTCACGGAATGTACGGGTCCCGTTTAGGTTATCCTGCCTCAACTTCTGTCCTCCATCCACTGCAACTTTTAACTCTGAATCACTACCAAGGCCTGCCACTTGTCATCACGTGCAACAATTAGTTGAAATACCTCCCAGACATAAATTTCACTCAACAATGTAAGCAAGATGTTATGGGGAGAGCCTGGATATTACAGGGATAGCTGATGCTGGGTGTTTTCTTCTTTCTTTACCCTAACCTTGGATTGGCTTTGTCAAGCTCAAAACAGAGAAAGATCCCTGGCCCTCTATCCTAATGCCATAAATAAATAAGAGAAGGGAGGGAGGGAAGGAAGTTCTGCTGAGGAGAGATAGGAAGTTAGAGCGGAAGAAGCAGAATGGTTATGGGAGAGACACTATCATTTATTGGAGAACCTACTGTGTATATAAGCATATCAAACATACTGTGTGTAGAAGCACATTGAAACCTCCCAATGCTGACAGCTACTTCTTTTAATATATTTTTATTGATTTCAGAGAGGAAGGGAGAGGGAGAGAAAGATATAAATGTCAATGATGAGAGAGAATCATTGATTGGCTGCCTCCTGCATGCCCCATACTGAGGATGAAGTCTGCAACCCAGGAATGTGCTCTTGATGGAATCAGTCCGCAGGCTGATGCTCTAGCCACTGAGCCAAACCAGCTAGGGCTGACAGCTATTTCTTATTGCACCCATTTTACAAATGAAGAAACTAATCCTAAGAGGCTGACTGATTTGCCAAAGGACAGGTTATTGCTAGTTCTTGACCCCCTGTTTCCATCAGGCCTGACCAACTAGAATACAGACTATGAATTTAGCAGGGCCTGAATTTTTAACAAACCTTTTGCCACAAAGCATGAATTCTGGAAACAGAAATATCTGGCTTGAAATGCCAGTCCTAGCTTCTATGTATGACTTGCAGCAAGTCGCTTACTTGTCTAAACCTTCAGATTCATCAGTGAAGCAGTAATATGTGCCTTCCAAGGATGCTGTGAAGATAGAATGAGATAGATCATGTAAAGAGCCTAAGCAGAACTGGCAAATATATAGCAGGCTCTCATTAAATGTGAACTATTATTATTTGAAATCCAAGATTCAAATCCTGCCTAGCAATAAATTTTTCGACAAGTCACTCCAAATCTCAGTTTTCTCACCTATATATATAAAAGGTGTCTCTCCTACCATCTGACCAGTCACTATGATACGCACTGACCACCAGGGGGCAGATGCTCAATGTACCGTATTTTCCGGTGTATAAGATGACCCCCTAATTTTACAGTTAAAACATAGGATTAGGCCTATATTCGCTGTATAAGACTACCCCCACTTCAAAGAAAAGACTTACTTTGCCGTCAAGATCTGCAGGTACTTTTTGTGCAATTTTGGTCTTTTGCCCCCGATTTTCAGTTGACTTTTTTTCGTTTCAAAAGTCGTCTTATACGCCGGAAAATACGGGTAGGCGCTGCCAAGCTGCAGTGACTTGGCAGAGGAGGTTCTCGGGTGACACACCCCAAAACTAAAAAGGAGAGAGCCTGATTCCTCGTGGGGCTCTGCAATTACACCTTCAGCAGTGGGTTATGTTGTTGCTGGGGCCCTGTCAGCCCCAAATCTGGTTTACTGCACACTTGCATTTGTGTTCCATACCCTGTACTACAGAAACTTTGTAGAGTGCCTTCTCACACCCTGGGACCCCTTTGGGGATGTCGGAGAGCCAGTTTTGGCCCAATCCCCACAGGCTAGGCCAAGGAACCCCACTTGCTGGAGGGACCCTGCTCACTCCACAGATGCCAGGGAGGGACTGCAGGAGGTTAGCTCCAGGGTGGCCATCTCATTCAATCCCACCCCACTGGCCA